TATTTTTAAAATATTTTCAAAACTTTCTTAAGGAATATTTTTAACATGCATGTTTACAGGCAATATTTTTGAATTATTTTAAAAATATTTTTTGTAAACATTTTCAAAATATTCCTTTAAAATGTTTTAAAAATATTTTGAAAATATTTTACTTACAATATTGCCATGAAAATATTTTGATAAAGGTGACAATATTTTCAAAATATGTTGGGCTATATGGGTTAGGTAGGTGAGACATTTAAGTCGAAAAAACTTTAAAACAACTAGAGAATTGGATGCCAGGCACATGGCGTGAATTTGTTACAACATGATTGCACCGAAATTGCAATCTTTATAGTGCCTTGAAAAACAAGCATAATCTACATTTCTTGCAAACTTATTGCAATAAAATTGCAACTTTTTAAGCGCCTTCAAATGAACATATAGGCAACAAGCAAAAATTGCAATCAACTCACAATCCTTTGCAATGAAATTGCAATCCATGCTACTTGGGAAGTAGTTTTCCGTTTAAAAAATGAAGTATGACAGGAAGTCTGCGACGTCGCAACGAAGATACGTGGTTGCGGACTTACACCGTCGATATATCAAGTACTTATTTGTTTTATAAACCAGTGTGACGTCACTATTATATCCGCTGAACGCTCTTCCATCAGTGACATCATACTGACGTCTGAATATTCAGAGTGAAGCGAGAGTGGTGTCACAGTGACAATATAGGTAATGATTTGTTTTATAAAGTGTCGTGATGTCACAGTGACGAGGTCATTATGCTTCACTTTTACCAAGGATTAATCCCTGGTAAAAATTGGCAGTGGGATCTGTGTTCCAAAACACTGCAGACCTACTGCTCTTAGAGCCGGCTATACAATTTCTTATATCCTTTTTAAGCCGATGGCAATAAAAGCTACAGTTACTTAGGCAAATAACTGTATAGCCCGCCCGTATATAATTTTTTATCACTTCGTATAGCCCTGCTGTATGATTTTTTTCGTTTTCTACATTCAGCTATAAGATTTTCTATCGCTTTTTATAGCCGGCTATTAGAATTCTTATGGTATTTTGAAACGCAGCTCCTATTGCCAATTTTTGCCAGGGATGTTAGCGTGTACGTTTAAACGCACCGAGTCTTCTCCTTCTATTGCCTCCTGACTGGTCGCCCATCAGTCTCATTGATGGATGTGTAATTGGGTAGATAGGTATACCGTTAGTTGGGAGTGATGAGAGGACGTTGGTGTGGAGTGAGGTCAGTTAGGTAGTCGTAATTTTATGTAAGAGAGATCAGAATTATTTTTCACGTATCATCATGTAAGCACCCTTACAGGGGGTACCTAACCCTTCGGGGATGGTTGTGCGTTTTTTTTCATCATGATTTGGAGTACATTTTGCAATTCGGGTCTAACATTTCTGGCTCAATTTGGAAACAACGTATGAACCATTAGTTTCCGTTTGTACATAAACGTTTTTGCGGATGAGCCAGAAATTGTAGTTCCTAACTGCGAAATGAAGTTCATTTACCGTGCAGTTTGGGTTGACTAGTTTGAATTTTTTTTATTACTCTCGTTTCTTGCCTTTCCCTCGTGATACTCGGTCACACACGCTACAACTTGATGCGATCATTGTTGGGAATTGATCACACCTAAAACTCAGATTTCATTCCATTTCAGTTGCCTAACAAATTCTTTAGTTGGAGATGTTGAATCATTTGATAATTCAAAACTAGCGGAAAAATTCAAGAAGATTGTGTTTGGTCTGTGTTTCTACCACTCAGTGATTTTAGAGCGTAAACAGTTTGGTTCAATCTGTTGGAACTACAATTATAACTTTGATGACCTAGACTTACGCTGCAGTGTGGCACACGTGCAGGAATTGCTCAAACACAGTGATGTGAGTATGCTCAATTCAAAATCTGTCTCTAAAGCTTCGAGCGTTCACCGCACGCTAGTGCTGTTGTGAACCACATTTTACAATTGAAACGAGTTCTATCTCCCATTGCAAACGAAATATGTACCCACCTCACTTCCCTATCTGCATAAAATTTCTTCAGAAGAAGAAGAAATAACAATTCCAAATGCAAGAAATTGTACAATTGTGAATTTCTATAGGATTACATACGTCGCTCAAAGTGTAATGACAGCTACGTGCGAAGCACGTATGAGTTGCTAGTTCATAATAAAAATATTTACGTAAACGGTATGAATGTCAATGTAAGAAAAACCATCGTACAGCATGAAGATTCAAGCAGATAGAAATAGCATACTTAGGTTCATATTTAAAAAGTTAAACTCACTAATTAACTCACTAATTGGCAGGCATAAGCCGTAAACGATGTGGCAAAAATGACTGTTGTGATAGCGCGCGCCACACAGCAATGGTCGCTACACTGGGCAGAATAACTATGCCAGTGGGCTGACCCAACTGCCATTCCCTCCCTCTACACTCCTTCTTTTTCTTATTCCTTAAAATTTGTTTTCTGTTCCAGAATTTTCATTTCGGACTTCTTCAATATTTGATCCCAGAATGTAATTATGGTGGTAAAATAATGGATGAATGGGATCGGCGAAGTTTGAAAGTTCTATTTGATACTTGCATGTCACCGCAGAATTTTGATGTTGAGCATTTTACTTATGACAGAAAAGGTACATACTTTTTTCAAGTTCTAAATCGAATACCTATTCTCTAGGGATAATTAGAGAAAACTAAAGAAACACAAGGTATCAGCGTTTCTCCACGAGATTAGAAATGAAGGAAGAGAATGAAATAGAATACCTCAGCTAACGTTGAACTTGTCAGTAGGCAAACAATGGTGCCCTTGTTTGTAACGATAAGAAACTTTCCTCCATGTAAGTGTAGATGGATGTATAAGACCACTTGGGTTAGTAAAAAACTGCACCAACTTATTTTCGTCAGAAAACACCTTCATACGTTTCTTGTGATAGGAATAATGCTAAAATTTATGAGTAGCATTGTCATCTACTTTCTAGGTGGCGCTCATCAAGAAAATGTGTACTTTCCAGATGGAACAATTTTCTTGAAAGAAAACAGGTATAAAGTAGATCTAGAAAATAGACACGAGAAAATAGAAAGAAAATACATTTTTTCCTTGCATTTTCTTAAAAGAAAACATTAAGAAATTGGCTAGAAAATAATTCTACTTTCAATAAATTTTCTATTTTTTCTCCAAATGGTAAGTTGACAGAAAGTAAACCTATGAAATAGATCTAAGTATTTTCTTTGGTCAGACTTTTGACTCGCAATGTTTTTTCTCTCTATTTTCTAGATAACTCTCATTTTCTTGGTATTTTCTAGAAGTTTTCTTAATATTTTTTTCCTAGGAAAAAATTCTATTTTGCTACTTAGGATGGCGAAATATTCAAAAACATCGACGCGGTAGAACACTCTATATGCCGTAGCAATTTCTATTTTTGATAGAAGGGGCGACATTTTGGGGAAAAAGAATAACAACTGAAAATCTGTGTCTTTCTTAGCCTTGTAGACCTATGTACTTTGAAATGTGATGAAAATTGGACTGTAGACAGAGATATTTTGCCAAACTGTGCACAAATAAATGAATTGAAGGGGCAACATGCAGTACTCCAACTTTCTTTGCACTGTTCGCTGTCCCAGTTTTAAGCGTGCCAGTAGGGCTCACTTTTTGTAATCACTCGGATTTAGCATAGTACAGCACACCGATCAACCAATGCTCTTCAACGGGCGGTCCAAATATTCTTTTCCTCGGACCCAGTCTCTTGTCCTTGAACCGTCATACTGTCCAGCCCTGATGGTCATTCATCAAAAAACCGAATGAACTTGCCAGTGGAAACCCTTGAGAACATTATCCCGTCAAAACCGTATTTTTTGATTTGATAGAAACTTCAAAAAACCTTTTTTACGATCATTCCCCCCCACAACGGGGGGGGGGGGGGAGGGATACTGGGTCCCTAGCACCGGGGCCCATGCCACCCGTGACACACTACTTCGAATTCACATGGGGTCTTTAATGGGGCTTAGACCTTAAAACTGGTACCAGAGCCCGAGATGGGATATGGCAGGCCTGTTTACGCTAGAACGATTTGAATCTAGAATACTTTTTCCCGCCGCAACTTTTTAGCCCATGAGCGTACTGCGCTGCAGCTGTCGAGTCTACTATAGTCCATTCCGCGAAACCTAGGACTTTGTATTTGGTATTAAAATCCGTAAATGGCAGCATCAGTTTCTCGCACGATGACCCGACCTCTCACCCGGCACGCTCTTTTGTTCAGTGACGAGAGGCCCGTAGCCGGTCCATTGCGAGGGTAGGAACATTAGGCACCCTTTATCCCTCCTTAATGACACCTAGTACGCGAACAAAAATGTCTTTGCTGTTGAAAAAATCATCTTCTAGCGTAAAAATTTAGATCCGGCACGAAATTATGATAATATCGCCCTAAGATTCCGTTCAATTATCTTGATTTTAAGCTTATGCACGGCAGTTCGCCGCAAATGCCGCATATCAGCTTAAAATCAAAATTGAACAGAATCTTTAAAATTAATTTATATTCAACATTCACGATTCAATATTTTCTCCCAAATTTAGCAAAAATTTCAAATTGAAACAAATAGAAGTGACATGAAAATAGCACGTGTCCAACATTATAGTTATTCGGCACGCTTTTCCAACAAATTCATGTGAGATTTGTCTTCTTGTTTTTCCATTCTTCGTTGGCTTTCTGTGGTGTAGTGATTATGCAGCGCTTGCTGTATGATCGGGAGGTCCTGCAGGCTCGATTCCCGGGCAGATGACCCGAGTTTCATGGCCTCAAATAACGGTTATCTGGGTCAACCTTGATTAGGGACTGAGAGGGGATGGGCATTTGGTGACTGTAAGCGTGATCCACTCAGAGATATTAATTGAAGTGGAAAAAAAATTAAAACACCGCCTCTCCCTTTTTTCATACAATTCATATTTTAAGGTACAATTTTACGACGATGCTTAGCCCACCTATCACAATTTTTATTTTATATTTTTGTGCACAGTTTGGTAGAATAGCTGTTCTTTAATTTCCGTTTCCATACTACTCACAAATACAAAACCTCTTGATGGCGATGAAGTGTGATGTATTCCACTGTAGTCTCAAAGCCATCACTAGGTATATACAGGTATACAATATGTCAGGGTTTTTCCACAAAATGATGACTGAGTGGGGAAAAATTTGCTGTCTAAGAAATATGTTTTGCATTCCAGTTATGTGATCGGAAATACACGGTCTGATTGAGGTCCAAAGCGCAAGTCGCTTGGACAGGTGTTATGATTTTGGGATCGTGCATCAAATTCCAGTAAAAATTGATATTGGCTCTCCTAAGCACAAAATTTCTCGTAAAAGAGGTATGCTGTTCTGTGCAACAGTAATTACAACTGTGGCCAGACTTCAGAGAAAATGTTTGTTCCGATGAGCTTTTTCTCTCGATGGTAGGAAAATCTGTTCTGTTCTGAAATAAACGCATGTTGGCCGAGTGACCAACACTTTGACCGAAAAAGGTTTTTCGCATGTTTGAAAGAGGATTTAGTCTCTCAATAATTTCCCCATCAATACCTACCTAAGTACATCGACTCGAGCACATTGAATCAGGAACAATTTATGGGCTTGGAGGACAAGGCGCATAAGTGCAGTCTTTGACAAAATTGAGTTATTAATGATTTCAAGTGAAACTAGTGCATATACTGTAAAAAAATCGCTCCCAAATTCCAATTTTTAAGCATCAAAAAGTCAGTTTGAACTTTCTTTCCGCCATGAGGATCTATGCCATTTTTATACTTTAAAACACGTATTTCTTGAAATAAAAAAAATTGCACTTATGCGTCTTGTCCTCCAAGTCCCTCAATTTAGTCAGTACCTACATTAACCACTCGATCATTTATTTTCCTCACTTTTTTCAACCCATGCACTCATTCCTATCTTCATAAGTTTCCGAAAGTTCCATTTTATTTCTTTGCTCCTTATGTTTTAGGGCAGTTTTACATTCCGAATGAAAGAGATATTGACATGATCCTTTCTCGTGTCAACAAATTTCCGCACACACCAAGCTCAGATGTTGTACAAGTAAATGACAATGCTATTGTTGAATTAAATTCAGCACTCACCGACGGATTCCTGTCGAGTGTGGTTCTTTGTCATTGTCAGGTTGGTTTATTGATTTTGTTCTTATCCTGGTAGCAGTGCCTATGATGGTTCTCTGTAGGTAATTTTTATTTCTTTGAGTTCGCTATTGGTTTTTACTTTTTGCTGGAAGTTTACGTAAAATAACAATTGATCCGCATTTAAATAATTTCTCCTTGACCTCTTTTTTCAATTTAACTTATGTATTTCACTATCTTACAATTTTTACATCCAAGCGAGGTCTTTAGTGAGTAACTAAGATTTTAACAGGTTAACACTTCATCTGTTGGATAACTTATATACATGGAACTTCCAAATATCGGCGGTTAAAGCGCGAAACCACGTAGCTCCGTTTCTGACATGCCTGTCACACTTCATTGCTTCTTTGGAAAAATATTTTACATATTTTCTCGAGAACTTACATTTTTTTTCCTGCCTGCCTGTAGGATATTCTTTTTAAAATATTAGGCTTAAAGTTAGCGTCTAATCGATTCTTGTTTACAGTCTCTCCTCGGAAAAATAAAGTAAGCTGGCAGGAAACAGTTCTTTCAAGATTGGAATAGTTGGTCTACCTACATATATACTAGTATGAAAAAACATAATTTTTCTATTTCGGCAGAGGAAGTATAGGTAATCGACACGGAGCTTATGTGTAACGGTGTGACGTTTGAAGCATATCTACGATGTTGAAGGCACTCGTGTCGCCACTTAGTGGCGTGCTATTTGTTATCTTGAATTTTGAAGAAATTTTGACGGGGAAACTCGAAGTTTTACTCAATTGTCTAAAATACGAAAATCCAGCTCAGGAGTCGTTACCTAAAATTCCATTCCTGTTCCGCTCGTGTTCCATACCTATTCGATCAATTTGTGTGGAAACAGTACTTACCGAACGGCATTTTTATTTCATTAGAAACTTTAGATTTTAGTCCAGTTGTATAATCTTATACAGGGTGTCCCAAAAGTCCGTACCCCCCCTCGTAACTTTTGAACGGTTGAAGATAGAAAAACGAAACTTTGGGAATGTTTCTATCTTAAAGGAGACCATCTTCCAGGGGGGTCAAAATTTTTGTCCCCCCCTCAGGGGGGGCTCGGGGGCCCCCAACTTTTTTTTTCAAATGGTAACCCCTATCTTGTGATACTTCATTCAAAAGAGCATAAAAAACTAAGAATTTTGGCGCAAACCGCAAATCAATATCTTAATTTTTGACCGAGTTATGATAGGTCAAAGTTGACCTTTGACCTATTTTCAAAAAATCATATCTTCGGTTCAAATTATCGTAATGAAAAAAATAAAACGGGAAAATTTACCAAATTGTAAGCACTTTCAAGTAAAAATCACAGAAATTACTTCAAACTAATTTTAAGGGGGGCTTCGGACCCCCAAATACGTAATTTTAAAGGTCATACGATATTCTCACGAAATGAGCCAATTTTCCCTTACTTTTCCTTAACATTATCTTAGAAAGTTCAAAATCAGTTCAAAATTCCCTCCTTAAGTCCCCAGACGAACAAAGTTTTTTTAAAAAATGAAATTTAAATGGTTGAATTAAATCACCTTAAATTTCGTTTTTTGAACTTCGACAAAAATTTGGGGACTTGAAAACGCAATGTTGAACTGATTTTGAACTTTCTAAGATAATGTTAAGGAAAAGTAAGGGAAAATTGGCTCATTTCGTGAGAATATCGTATGACCTTTAAAATTACGTATTTGGGGGTCCGAAGCCCCCCTTAAAATTAGTTTGAAGTAATTTCTGTGATTTTTACTTGAAAGTGCTTACAATTTGGTAAATTTTCCCGTTTTATTTTTTTCATTACGATAATTTGAACCGAAGATATGATTTTTTGAAAATAGGTCAAAGGTCAACTTTGACCTATCATAACTCGGTCAAAAATTAAGATATTGATTTGCGGTTTGCGCCAAAATTCTTAGTTTTTTATGCTCTTTTGAATGAGGTATCACAAGATAGGGGTTACCATTTGAAAAAAAAAGTTGGGGGCCCCCGAGCCCCCCCCTGAGGGGGGGACAAAAATTTTGACCCCCCTGGAAGATGGTCTCCTTTAAGATAGAAACATTCCCAAAGTTTCGTTTTTCTATCTTCAACCGTTCAAAAGTTACGAGGGGGGGTACGGACTTTTGGGACACCCTGTATGCCTTTCGGCTCTGTTCGATTAATTTTCGTAAGTTTTCGGGACCAGAAAATAATTTATGACGGAATTTCAAAATTTCAAAATTCCAAAATCCAGAATGGTGTACGTGGCCCAAAATGCCATTTTGGCTACTGTTTGATCAAGTTTTTTGAAACTCATTGTCAGTGTCAAATGGTATCATTTTGACAGGAGACTTCAATTTTTAGACTCATTATCAAAATTGCAAAATCAAAGATAGTTGACGTGGCCTGAAATAATGTCTCGGTGCCTGTTCAATTATCTGTGTGAATTTTGGCACCAGGCCATGATCCAACACGGCGGATCCCGCCTACTTCATCTAACTTCTTACCAAATTGCGGTAAAGATTTGAAACTTGGCTGGTGTTCCAGGTTCCTAGGTCAAATTGAATTACTTTTTGGCCCCCAAATTACATTTTCAGGGAGCTCCCTTGTGGGACAACCCAACTTTTTTTTTAAAAAAAGGAAGACCCCCTCCCCCTTGTGATACCTCACTCGAAGAGCATAAAAAAAAAGAAAATGTTTTGCGCAAAGGTAAAGTCAATAACTCAACTCATTTTAAAATGGCGGCCGATTGAATATCTGAAAATTGGCATGTCGGTTTTTCGTCGAACATTTTGCCTGAAACGCATTATCATGCATATACTCAGAATGAATATTTTCGTTGTTTGCCAGTGAATTCCAATAAAACTTACTTTACCGGATTTTATGGCACGAGGAAACCGAATTTGGCATTAGTTATTTTCAAAAAGGAATCTTTTTTCCAAACGGCGACCGTAAAAATGACGGTTAAAGAGAAAACTACGAGTATCTCAGCTGTTTACCCATGGATTTGCTTTAAAGTTGGTGCCCGGGACTTTACAGGCACGAGAAAATCGAAACCGACATTGGTTCGGAAAGACCCAACCAATTTCAACTTTAATGAAAATTCAAGGGTGAACAGCTGAGGTACCTACTTGTATTTTTCTCTATAACCATAATTTTTACGGTCGCCTTTTAGAAATTGTTTTTTGGTTAAAAAATCGAATACCAAATTCCAATTCCTCTTGCCAAAAACCCCTCTATATCAAGTTTCATGCGAATTCACCGGTAAATATCAATAATATTCGTTTTTGCACTATGCTGAACTTTAACCAGCCGCCATTTTGTCAAAAGTCAAGATTTTGACTTACAGTTTGCTCCAAAACTTTTTTTTTTATCTTTTTTCGAATGGTGTCACAAGGGGGGGGGGGCATTTGAAAAAGAGTTAGGGTCCGTAGTCCTTCCCCTTGGGGGAGAGGGTGCCGAAGTTTCATTTTAAAATATTAAGAAAGTAAAATTCAATTACTTTTTCAAAGCAATTAATTTTTAAACGTAAAATTTAATAAGTAGTTAATTTTGGAATGTCAACTGGTGCCACAAATTGACGATACTTCATGTTAAAGTTAGCAACAGCACCTCATTCGCCGTTGTGTTCAACAATCCCTGGTAAAAATGGCAAGTGCTCAGATCAGTAGCACTTGCCTTTGGAACAGACCTAAACACTGATGTCAGTGCTGCCGGGCGCTGATCTCCTACGTCAGTGTTAGGTCTGTTCCAAAGGCAAGTGCCTCTGATGTAAGTGGCACTGACCTAAAAGTCTCCGAAGTAAGCGGAGTGGAAACTCCCAGAAATACTGTAGAGGCAAAAAAGTTAATTACCGATCCTCGCCAGGTACGTGAATTCACTGTTTGACGACTAGGGAGGGCTACTGTGAGTTTTCAACCACAAGTAATTATCACAATCTTCAGTGGACAACGCTCGTTCCCATGCGGTCTCCAATCTAAGTACCAACTACGCCCGACGTAGTTTAACGTTGGTGATCAATCTAGCGACTGAACCACTACACTGCCCGCGCGTATAAGAGTTAGGGGCATAATTATGCCATTTCAGGGCCCCATTGGACTAATCTTGCCAGCAAATGATGATTTTGTCTTTGAATTTGAATCCGATTCTTAATTTTTTTATTATTCTTTTTTAATCAATCAGCATTTAAATGAAGTTTTATAAGTTACGTTTCTTTGAAAAAAAAATGGAACGCATTAAAATTCAAAATTTTAGGTAAGGATGTAAAAAAAAAATAATTAAAGTTAAAATGATACAAAAAATATAAATTTGCAGCTACAAAAATTGAAAGTAATGGAGTAAAAAAGTTGGAAAAGAATTAAAAATAAATTAGAAAAATTTTAAAAAAAAATAAGACTGAAACATTTTAAAAAGAATTAAAACTGAAAAAAATTAAAACCAAATTTAAAACAATTTTTTTTTAAAAAAAACTCTCAAGTTAAAAAAATAATAATGCTTAAATAAATACTTCTAAATACATATTATAGCGATGATAATATTTTTACCGATCTCATTTTTTTGGTGTTTTAATTATTTAAGTGCCATCATAAACGAAAAAGATAAAAAACAAATTATTCAAGAGTGTGGCTACCTAAAAGTTTTCCTTCCCTCTTAGAAAATCCCCCTTTCTAAAATAAATGCCTCTCGGTAAGATAAAGTTTGTGGTCCCCGTATCCCGAGGAAATATTCCCCCATGAAAATGAAATAGGGTGGGGGAAGGGGGAGCCATCTCTACTTTTTGGGAGTGAGTGCGGTTCGATTAAGACTGATGTCAGAGACTTACCCTCTGAACCAAGTCCTGACCTCAGTCCCACTTACCTCAGAGATATCTCTGTACTTAGGTAAGTCTTTCTCCCGACGTCAGTGCCTCTTACCTCAGTGCTGACTTCTTGGGTAAGTGCTTTAACACTTACGTCAGAGAAAACTGAACTGATCTTAGAGCAAATTTCACTGACCTCAGTGGAAAATTCACTGACCTAACACTTGCCATTTTTACCAGGGAAGGTTACTCAAGTGAAGTACTTGGGTCATGGGTCATATTTATCGTAGTCTTTGCTTTTTGCCTTGATCTCTCACACGTTTGTCTTGTTCATATTGACATGCTTCACATGAAGGATATTATCATCAAACCTGTCCTCACCAATGTAAGCATAACTGAAATCTATTTTGCTTCGAATTAGAAATTCATTCCAGCTTAATTTGCATAGTTTTTATTTGTCATATCCATTGTACATGCAGACATTCTTAAATTTAATTTAAGTACATTTTTCAGCATAAAAGCAAATTTTAGTCCTTGAAAGCTGCATAATAATAAATGATTTGAATAGTTAGGTAGTTGTACAAATGCTTTTGTTAAGAAATAAGCCCCTATAGACCGAGCTTACAGGTTAGCCACCCGTTTGAATCTTTTTAATGAATGAACTTGGCTCTTCAATTGAATTTGCACGTATACATTGGTCGTTTTTACAAACGTCTTAGATCATTGCGTCATCTAGCAGCATACAATTTTCTGGGAGTAAAAATCCTACTTACTTCTACTACTGTGCTTCTTAATTTTTGTCATAAGCCACTTTCCCAAGGCTTCCAACAAACAGTTTGGCATGTTTCCAGCGCTTCTTGTGCTTGCTGTTATATCTAAAATATTTATATTTTCAGGAAGAAATAGATTCAATTTATTCTGAAACAAATGACAAGAAAGTGTATGAGAAGGCCAATTTCATTTTTTCAAACTTACCCTCCATGTTTGATTTGAAAACTGTGGCGGAAAAGTTTCCTCTTACTTACAAAGAAACTATGAACACGATTTTCACGCAAGAAGTGCATCTTTACAATTGCCTCCACACGACTATTTACAATTCAATGAGGGATATCTTAAGAGCAATCGGAGGTATTGTCAAAAGAAAGTGAATATATACTTTTACAAGTTTTTACATGATTGCACTTTGAATTAACTACTAAACTTTATCGTTGCTTTTCTTTCTTTTTGTGCTTCTGTTTCCTTTTATTCCTTCCCCCTTCTTTCCTCTTCCCCCCTTCTCTTTCCCTTTCCCCCTCTTTTAATTTTTCCCATATATGTATGTATACCTACATTTATTTTCATTTATTTTTAATTTGTTTGCATTTAATTTATTTTCATTTTTTATTTTCAATACTTCCGTGTTTTATTTTTAATTTTTTAATTTTATAATTTTTATCTTTTTGTTTGTGATTTTTTCATCTTATTATTCTCAGTTTTCTGATTTATGATTTTTTTTATCGTTTCATCTGAAATTTTTTTCTTTTTATTAACTTGACGTCGCGCATTACACAATGACGTCATTGAGGTAAGTTGTTTCGTAAAGTACTAGGTGTGGTGTCATGTCACTATGACTAAAAAAGTAATTAAGTATGTTCCACTTTTACCAGGGAGTTCTCTTGATAGGTACCTACTATTAGAGTTAGCTTCATACCTTCATGCATCTGAAATCGGTTGACGAGGGGCAACCGGATTATTTCTTGGAAGGCCTCGGATGATTCTTTGTTACCTAAGGAAATGCTAAAAAAAGGAGAGAAAATAATTGAGACTAAGGCCTTTAAAAGTGAAGAGGATTTATTCTCAAACAATTTGAAGTACGTCTTGCACATTTGAGATGTCTCTGAATGCAATTAGGTATCCCTCTTTATTTATAGGAGAAATGGCGATGAGTACCTCTCTGGATGATGTTTATCAATGTATTTTAAAAGACAAAGTACCAACTGTTTGGTTGAATGACTCGTACTCTTCTCTTAAATCCCTCGGAAGTTACGTTTCTGATTTTCTTGGAAGATTGATATTTTTCCAGGTAATAATTTTTACTTTTCATATCTTTTACATTGAAATCACAATTCAAGTTTAATTAAGTTGAAGGGTTTCGACTCTGAAAGCCGAAAGCTTTCTAAAAAAAAGAAGACTCTGGGGTTGAGTCAACGCGATTCAGGGTTGAGTCACGTTGACTCAACCCGGCAGGAAGGAAGATGAAAAAACTAGAGGATTACTGCTGGCGGAGCAACCCGCAAGCCGGCACAGCTCCCTCACATCACAAAAAGACAATACCACCCCCGAAAGGGGTGGTTTGCAAGAAAAGACACTTACATTTCAAAAAGAGAACGAGGACACGCACCGACGCGTAAAAGAACCAAGCGCGAACAACGGTCAGTGGCAGTTCCGATTCCCTCCACCAGGGGACTGGTGGGGAAAATCGGAAGTGCCAACTGAATTTTTAAACTTGTGGCGGGAGTAGGGTTGCTGCAGGCAGAACACTACAAAGTTTTTTTTTTTTTTTTTTTTTTTTCTGCTGTTTAGTGGCTTTGTGACTAAGCACCTGCAGCCAACTTTAGACTAGTGTGTTTCTATCGGATGGAGTTTATATGAGATTAGGAACCGACTTTAAAGGTGTGAGAAGCAAAAAATAGAGACATGGGAAAAAAGAGGGGATGAATAAAAGTAGAGTTGAAGAGGGAGAGGGTGAGAACCCAGTTTAAGTAAAGTTGAAAGTAGCATTGTTTACGATAATGTATATTTTTGTATGATGTTCACATTGGTATATACAGGGTTATCCATAAGTCACTGACCACCCCTGTAACTTTTTCCCAAATTGAGATAGAAGTTTGAATCTTTGGCAATGTTCCTCGGTGTGAAGTAGTAAATTTTTGGTCCCCCCAAAATTTTGGGGGGCGGCCCCCCTGAGGAGGGTGGGGGCTAACTTTTTTTTTCAAATGGCAACCCCCCTTTAAGACACCTCATTCGAAAGATAATAAAAAAAGAAATTTTTTGGCGCAAACCGCAGGTCAAAATTTTGAGTTTTGACAAAACGGCGGCCAGTCAAAGTTCAAAATGGCGGAAATTTGACAACTCCGTCGTTTATTGATGGATTGGCGTTAAACTCGGAATCCTGGAGTTTTTCGAGACAAGAAAAACGATTCTGGCATTGGTTTTCCAGAAAATTCAGTCCTTTTCAAAATGGCGGCGGTCAAAATGGCGACCTACAGCGCGGAAGTGGATATTTAGGCTGTTTATCGTTGAATTTGCATGAAACTTGGTATCCGGGAGATGTCGGCAGGAGAAGAATGAATCTTGCATCGGATATCTGAAATTCCGACAAATTTCAAAATGGCGGTGGAAAAATGGCGGGAAATTAGTTTTACGGCTGTTTATCGAAGGATTTGCATGAAATTCGATATCCTGCTGGTTTTTGGCTCCATAAAAAGGAATCTTTCATTAAATTCTTCAAATTCTAAATAATCGATATCGAATTTCATGCAAATCCATCGGTAAACAGCCGTGAAACTGATTTCCCGCCATTTTCCCGCCGTCATTTTGAAATTTGTCGGAATTTCAGATATCCAATGAAAGATTCGTTCTTCTTCTGCCGAAATCCCCCGGATACCAAGTTTCATGCAAATGAAACGATAAGCAGCTTAAATATCCACTTCCGCGCTCTAGGCCGCCATTTTGACGGCCACCATTTTGAAAAGGACTGAATTTTCTGGAAAACCAATGCCAGAATCGTTTTTCTTGTCTCGAGAAACCTTAGGATTCCGTGTTTAACGCCAATCCGTCAATAAACAACGGAGATGTCAGATTTCCGCCATTTTGAACTTTGACTGGCCGCCATTTTGTCAAATTCAACATTTTGACCTGCGGTTTGCGCCAAAAAATGTTTTTTTTATTATCTTTCAAATGAGGTATCACAAAGGGGGGGTTGCCATTTGGAAAAAAAAGGTAGCCCCCGCCCCCCTAGGGGGACCGCCCCCCAAAATATAACAAAATGAACAACATTTTCCTACTCTAACAAAAGCGACATCGACAACGAAGTCTTTAAGACGACATCGAAACGTCTGCGAAACATGTACTTAACTTTCAAATGGTAATACATTTACTTACATTTGAGCAGTTTTATCTTGACTGGATAGCTCCTACACCCTTGCATTTATATATATATAATTAAAATTAGAAAATAAGGCTAAAATTGATTTTAGCCTTTATTTCCACTGCTTTATCGTGTTTCATGTTATCGTATTGCAGGCTAACGTATCTCCTCTCTCTTGTGTGTGTATATACGCCAAACGGGCCCATGTAAAGTAAAATTTTCGTCGTTTTGGGTCATCAAGTGCTTATAACTTTTTGAAAACTCAATGGATCTTAATGAAACCCTTACACGCCATCCGGCTAACTTAGCTGCTTCCATAGACACCAAGATCGTTGGAATCTGTGCCGCTGCTTGCTCTATGAATTCAATTCCAAATCGAATCAATTTTCAGATTAAGGGAGTTAGCTGTGACTAAGAGTGTCGGCCACCACTTCGCTATCGGGACTTTAGTAGGACGTCATTTTTCTCGGCCGGGGGTGGCTACCGCCATTCTTGATTTACCCAAGCCTTTGATTCCTCATGACCTAATGTCATGTTACTTACTTACTAATGGAGCTACAGCCCATGTACTTTCATTCCATCCAGGATCTTTATAAGTGCCTCTCTATTGACACCGTCAAATGCTTCTTCAAAGTCAATGTGTAAATCGATTCCATACTCATGAAATTTTTCCATGGTCTGTCTGATCATAAATAATTGATCCGCTGTGCCTCTTCCGTCGAATGCCGCATCGGTAGAATTTCATGTAGGTATTTAGACCAAAAATGACTTTAAAGAAGGACATTATGGCTGTATAATTTCAGTGGTAAAAGCACCGCGAAGGCGAGCCTCAAACATCTTTTGGAGAGTGGTTTTGAGCACGTGAGTATAGAGTCGAAAAACTGGTATAAGAAATTTATTGCGCCTGAAGATAAATGAACCGAGAGTCAAAAAGTCGAGACTGACCTTTTGTAAAATTATCCACGTAGAAAAGTTTGCTCGCACAATTTTTTTTTTATTTTTCGATGGTCTTTATTGAACACCTATCGTTATTATTTTGTTGCAGGAATGGTTTGACACGGGCATTCCGGCATCCTTTTGGATCTCCGGTTTTTTTCGACCAGCTAGTTTTTTGACTGGAATTTTGCAGAACTTTGCACATAAAAACTCACTATTTGTTGAAGATTTAAGTTTTGATTTTGAAGTAAATTCTTTGTTTTTATCTTTTTCTTACATTATGTAAAACATTTCTTTAAAGAAGAAGTGAGGATGGGTTCATTGAAGGTCCAGCTAATTTATTTCTAACGATTCCTGTAGAAGGATAGGTTTTGAATACCTTCATAGACAAAGCAATAAGACTTTTTGGGTTACAAATTTTCAACTGTGCGGTGGAATGGGGTCAGTCCAGGGCCGCCATTTTTCTGTTTCATTTTTCTTGATCGAGTAATTTTAGGGCCTTAGCCTATGTTCAGAAAAAGAATTGGACACTGTCGCACAGCCCCCCCCCCTCATTTTGAAGTTTTTTAACACAAAAATTGGTGGAATGCCCCCACGCGCACGGTCTGGCTGCCACATGCCTACAGTTCGTCCGTCAATTGCAATTAAAAACATAAGAGGTGCTGGAAATAAATTAATTAACAAAGATGAAACAAAACAAATATATCTTGGGTCAGAACTTAGGTTGGTACAAAAAATCCCACAACTATAGAAACTAAGTAAATGATTATTTTAATGGCCCAATAAATTTTAAACTTTTGAAAATGTATTTTTCTTTAAAAAAGGGGGAAAAAATATAACTCAATGAATGTTGGTAGGTTTGAAAATGACCTTTTTACGTGTAAGGCATGTGCACATGTGTAGTTACCTTCGTGTGAGTTACATGCAAGCTGTATATAAATCATACTGTCTTATGAAAATTACATATAAGTGTCACTGGCGGAATGACCCCCAGCCTTACTGGCGGTTCAACCCCATCCCGACTTTACTTCACAATATTGTCACCTGACATGACGAAAATAAAGATTTTTCAAAGAACACCAAACGGAATCAGAAGCCAAGAGTGAGTGGACTGAGATGATGTACTCACTAAAGTTCTATCGAACCGTAATATGAAGACAAAAAGTCCTCAAAAAAGAAAGAAAAGAAAGAAAAAAATTACGGTAGAGAGTAAAATTTACTTGTTCGCTTATGGGTTGTTCATTAAAATATTTCTCATATATAGACTAACATAATTTAAACGAGTACTTCCAACTTCTGACTTCCATGCTTTGAAATTCCAAATTTGACCACCGCCATGGGCCTTACGGTTGACTGGCGGACTGACCCCATCCTACCCTAGTCCGGTCATTTGGTTTTTTCTTGCGGTTTTGAGAGAGGAACTTTTTATTTTACCCGATATCTCATCTATAGAGGATTTTGAAATGGAATCCTACTTTGCCGCCGCCCCGTTATACTCCCAAACCGAAAAAAAACTGTCGAAAATTGGCGATTTTCTCTCGTTTTTGGGCTGTCATTGCAGAAAACGTTGATATTATTCCGACTGGGCATGTGACATTAACTTGAAAACAGAAAAAATTGCAATCATTTCTCAGCAGATCAGAAATTTTACCGATGATAAGCTTTTTTTTGTTTGAAAGTTCGTTTTCTTAATGATTTTTGCTTGTAACTTTTTTTCAGCAATTTTTTAGAGTGTGCATTTCAATTAAGTTAAAAGTGGGATCTAAATACTACAATTTTGTGTAATAAACGTGTCCCTAAGGCGTAACGACACGGCGCCACGGCGTTGCCAAAGTTAAGGTCGAAAAGGCATTGGCTTACGGATGGCATAAAGGAAGGGGGGACGTAAAAACGTCGGCCAAAATTACTTACGCACAGTGACCTTGCATTACGTCCCCAAAGTTTCAGGATTTGACCTTAAGACTGTGCGTGGACAGCTATAAAAATGATCAGTGTGTAAGAAGACTCTTGGAGGACTGAACCAGGAATTAGGTCAAAACACCTAACTTTTTTAGTAAGACTGCTTTTTGGTGTCGTTGCATTTTGCGAGTATCAAAGTTAGGTTTAAATTTAGGAATCAATGTAATTAAAATTCCGGAAACCTCGAAAATGTGTTTTCCGCCCTTACTTGCAGGTAACAACACTCTTACATCCCGAACACTATGGAACATATGCAGAAACGAAAGGTGGCACAAGAGTATATGGTTTATTTTTAGAGGGAGCTTGCTGGGATTTACTCGAAAAAGTTCTAAAAGAGGTGTCTACAAGAGTCAACTACGCCCAGTTTCCAATGGTATAATCCCTTTTTCATTTCTTTAAATTAAGGAAGTACTTTTAGTTAGTGTAGCTAGTACTTGTAGTGAAATTCACGCACATTGAGCCAACGCGTGTAGACGAGCCTCCATCAACTTATTTGGTGGACTGACATAGAAGTCGAAAATTCAAAAACAAGATTGGGTAGGTATCTTCTGTTGCTTTCTAAGAAATCGCCAAGTAACGGAGCGCAAGCCTTTAGTAATACACACTTAATCCAATCATGCGTCATACAAACTACAACCTAGATAGAGGAGACCATTACAGAAAGATTAGCAACGCTTCTTGCCGTAATGCCTTAGGAGCATTTTTATTGAAACGTTCCAATAAAGTTTCGGTGATCAGCGGGTACCTACCAGTAACTTGTAAAGTATCCGGTGTTTACTTGTTTTGAAAAGCCCGTACAAACTATTTCTACAACGGACTTTTCACACGACCATCGAAAACTTTTCAGAAAAAGCGTTTCTGCAATCTCATGCGGAGAAGCGTATCTTTTGAGAGAAGTATACGTTTTCCAGAATACGTTTCGGAAACGTATTTCCACAGCGGTGAAGTTTGTCTCTTCATTTTTGAAGAAATTTTAAGGTCTTTAACCGCGTAACTTTTTTACGAACAAGTATTACACAAAACACTTTTACAAAATATTTTGGCAATATCTATTTACTTAGAAAGTTGCCGAAAGGATGTTTTAGTGAAGTTTGCGAATACAGTTTTGAAACTACCCTAGTAGCATGATTCACTTTCCCCTTCCTAACAAACGTATTAACGTAGGAATTAATACCGGTTATATAAGCACCATTTTAACTAAAGTTTATATATCGTGTATATAAGTTTTATATAAAATGCCCATGAAAATAATTATTCATATTTTCAGAAGATAACGTTTATATAAAATCCATATAATTGAGGAAGGGTTTTTATAAATTTTCTTTATACGCATAGTATCCTTTTGCTTAATTTGCTTAATATAACTGTTAAATAAATGACCTGAATGACTTTAACGTAAACCTATCTCATTTTCATGAATGATGATGATGATCTCATTTCAATGAACACCCTCGACTCTCAGACTGCGTGGGATAGGTATTATTAGAGGTACTAGTGGCTCCGAGACGAGTTAAAAGGGGATATTTCGCACACAATCCGAGGAGCCCTGTTACCTCAGTTGGTAGCGTGTCTGGCTCATAACCCTGCCCAGTTAGACAGCAATATTTTAAAAATATTTTAAAAATATTGAAATTTAATATATTTTTAAAATGTTTTTCATGTATTTTTAAAATATTTTCAAAAGTACTTTTGAAATACAATCAATGAATATTTTTAAAACATTTTAAAAATATATTAAAAATATAAAAAATTAAAATTTTTAAAATAATATTTTATAATATTTTTAAAGTATATCATAATTATTTTTGTTAATATTTTAAAAATATTATTAAATATTATTTTAAAAATTTTGATTTTTTTTAAAATGTTTAAATTAATATTATAAAAATTTAAAAGAAAAAAGGAAATGATAATAATAATAAATAAATAACATAAATACATCGACATAAATTCAAACTAGAAAAAGGCCCAAATAATTAAAACTGGAAAAAGACGCAATTATAAAGTTAAAAAATAGAGAGAGAGAGAGAGTTAAAAAAATGAGAGTTAAAGAAATAGAGAGAGTTAGAAAAAATGATAGTTAAAAATCATGATAGTAAAAAAAAAGAGAGAGCTAAAATAATGAGAGAGAGTTAAAAAAAATGAAAATGAAAAAATTACATCATGAAATAAAAAACAATAAATAGATAAATAATAAATAATAAAGTCTGGTAAAATATCATAAGAATCCATCAATAAACAAACATATTACGGACTCAGAGGCCTGCGATAGTTAAGAGATTGAATTTAGGGGCCCATCCATATCAAGCCTGGCTGGTCTGGTGGTAAAGTGCTGGACTTCGGATTGCAACTCCATCCCGAGGCGTGGGTTCTAATCCCGACTAGGACGCCGCGGATTTAAGGTAAGTCACAACTCTACGATGATCCACCACCTGGTAGAAACGCATATGAAAACTTGCACACTTCATAACTAGAGTGCGCTACCAGCCAGGAAGAATAATGAAAATTCATTCTATACACTCTTTGAATTTGGTTATATAACTAAGGGTTACATAATAATGTAAACTTTTAACTAAAAAACTTTACATCCATTACATAAACAATGAATATTCTTTAGCTTGTGGTTATTTACGGTTTATACTTTTAAAAACAAATTTTTTATATAACTCTGCTACTACGGTATCGGTAACGGCTTGTCGCACAGCTTCTCGACAAAGCTGCTACGACAAAGTTTATAATGATGTTGAAAACGCAACTGAAGGTAGGTGTGGGTAAAAGGCCGCACATTTTACAGGGTGTCTCAAAAGTTCGTAACCCCCCCCCCCCCTAACTTTTGAACGTTTAGGGATAGAAAAATGAAACTTTGGGACTGTTTCTATCCCAAAGAGAACCGTATTCTAGGGGGGTCAAAATGTTTGCCGTTTCCTTAGTTCTCCCTTAGGAGAAGCTATAAAGGCGAAAAGGACGACGGACCGGTCCTTTGGGAAAAGTGGGCCCGGTTAAATTGGCTGGCGTTTTGATATGTTGTAGGTCTTAACATACTGATCAAAAGTGTCATTGGGCATTTCTCCCTATCTCGAAGGTTTACCCCCCATTTTGGGGGTCAAAGTTGTCAATTCGGTGTATAATTGGCAGTTTTGACACCCGGGTTTATTGGTCGCCTATGAGATTCTTTGATGGTTTCTTGAGTCTTTTGTATCCTCTGAATAGGCTAGAGACCATCCGAACTAAGAAACTGACAATTTTGCCTTATGGGGAAGGGGGGGGGTGTTCACGCCNTTCACGCCACCGATTTCAGAGTCGGTGAGCCGCATTAAACCGATTCTTTCGCCATGTTTTGGAGAATTTTTTATGCAAATGATTGCGACTGCATCTTGAAAGGTCGACTAAGATGCAGCTCAGATTATACCCCCGGGCGGGAAGGGGGGGGTGACCGAACTCGAGCAGCGCAGCGTAACTGGCTTGCGCGGGTCGGATCAAACCGATGCTCAGTGCGTTGAATGGTGACAAAAAATCCCTCTAAAAATTTCTCTTAAAAGTCGAAATTTTCCAAACATTATGTGGTGAACGTTAAGTGGTATATCTTGCAACACTATTGTCAGCGAAAGTATCGATTTTTATCGATACCTAGTGCCCGCACAGGTGGTCGTTTTCAGCCAGTTCAGAGCTCCTGATTAGAAGCCGATTGCAGATGACAACAATGAGGAGCATTCTGATCAACAAACCTCAGTGCCATTTTATCCTTCCTGGCAGCTTCATTCCTAATGGTGAGCACTGTTTATTTTTGATTTTTCCAATTTTTAAATCCTTTTTTTTGTGGCGAATATTTCATTTTGAAATACTGCTCATTTTTAACCCTTTTTTCCACTTTCATGGAGTGGCAAAAAAAAGCTCCGTCATACTCCCAACTTTTGTGCACGTGGATATATTCAGTAGTATGTGTACTTTCAGAAAATCAACGGTTCATCTGCCCGATGTTGCCCGTTCGGTCGGAAATCATGATTTTATAGGAAAATTTGGCCATTTTTCAGGTGTTTTTGGGCTTTTATTCGACTTTGATTCAGAGTTCACAAATTAACCTTCAATTTTCAAGACATTTGGCACTGACACAAATAGATAATACTAAAAATGGTGTAAAGAAATGGTAAAATTCATTTTTAAGTATCACATGATACCAGCTCGCTCCAAAAAATAGCACATTTCTGTAATATTTGTATGTATTGTACATATATAATATGTATGCATATATAAGAACTAATTCCGATTACATGAACCTAGTTTCCAAAAAATATTGATATGAATATATTAAATCGCATGTAAAATAGGGGTTTGAAATTAAAGTAGCTCAGTGTTGCCAAATTTCATGGAAACTTCCATTTTCGCAAGGCTCGTTTTTACGTTGGTACCCGAATAATGGTAAAATTCTTACAAATGATCATGACCTCTATCCAAACGGGGGGCTACGGGCAGCTGAACTTTTAATATTTTGAAAGTGCACATACCACTGAATATGTCCACATTGAAATATTTCCAATAATTGTCAATAGTTTTTTTTTGCCACTTCATGAAACTTCAAAAGAACGTAAAAACGAGCCTGGCGAAAATGGAAGTTTTCATGAAATTTGGCAACACTGAGCTACTTTAATTTCAAACCCCTATTTCACATGCGATTTAATATATTCATATCAATATTTTTTGGAAACTAGGTTCATGTAATCGGAATTAGTTCTTATATATGCATACATATTATATATGTACAATACATACAAATATTACAGAAATGTGCTATTTTTTGGAGCGAGCTGGTATCATGTGATACTTAAAAATGAATTTTACCATTTCTTTACACCATTTTTAGTATTATCTATTTGTGTCAGTGCCAAATGTCTTGAAAATTGAAGGTTAATTTGTGAACTCTGAATCAAAGTCGAATAAAAGCCCAAAAACACCTGAAAAATGGCCAAATTTTCCTATAAAATCATGATTTCCGACCGAACGGGCAACATCGGGCAGATGAACCGTTGATTTTCTGAAAGTACACATACTACTGAATATATCCACGTGCACAAAAGTTGGGAGTATGACGGAGCTTTTTTTTGCTACTCCATGAAAGTGGAAAAAAGGGTTAAAAATGAGCAGTATTTCAAAATGAAATATTCGCCACAAAAAAAAGGATTTAAAAATTGGAAAAATCAAAAATAAATAGTGCTTACCAATTGAAATGAAGCTATCAGGAAGTAAAACGTGAAAGTAATGACTAATAAAATTAGAATGATTAAATTAGCTTGTATTTCAATAAGAAAAAAAAAATCTTTTTAAGTTCTTTAAGGTTTAAAAACCCGTAATGAAAAATAACGAAAAATGGCAACACAGCGACGTTGAACTAGTTTCTCTCTCGGTACATTGATGTGTTTTGAAAATAAGCACTTGTTAATTTTTTTTGGTGCTAACTTGAGCTTGATATCCTATTTTTTTCTGGGAGATATCAAGCTGAAAGGATTTTATCCGATTTCCTCTCAAAACGGGGCCGAAAAACCCCCTCAATATATTCTCCTCAAAAATTTCTGTTTGTCACAAGATAGTACGTACCAAGAAGAGCAACTCACCAAATTTTTATGAAATTTCAACAATTTTTAACGGAGATATCGATTTTTGACACTCGTCCCCATGTAATCAACGCACTGTGCGATGCTTCTATTATGTTTTGGAGAACTTTTTTGCAAATGACTCAGGCTGCTCCTTGAAAGGTCTACTAAGATACAGCTCAAAATATACCTCCCCTCCCCCCCCCCTAGGGGGAGGCGAAAACTGGGCCCAAAAGCCGACCGAACTCGGGCAGCGAAACTAGCTCTCGCGAGTTGCATCAAACCGATGATTTTGTCATGTTTTGGAGTTTTTTTTCTATCCCAATGAAACAGACTGCATTTCGGAAGGTCGACTGAGATGGAGCACGGAATATGCTGTATGAGAACGGCTTCTCAATCCGCACCTTCCCTCGCAATAGGATCTCTCAGCATAGGTCAGTGTGGCACTGACACTAGTACCTATAGTGGCATTTTTTACCACCACCATCACTCATACATAATTCCGAGGATCGCTTTAGCTGACACGCATTTCCGACTGAGCCCAATATTTCTATAAGCGAAAGCTAATGGTGCAGATGATTCCTACGGCTGAGACTATATAACGTCGGTTGGTTTCAGAAATATATCATTTAGGTGATTTTTTAAATGAAATCGCACATTATTATCGAGCATTAAACAGTTTTGTAGAATGTCAAGAACGGCAAGCAAGAAAGCAAAGCATTCGCAAAAAGGCAATATATGCAATGCAATCAGTTCTGAAGGAATTTGACGAGTTCTGGATTTTTCATTCTTTCTACTGGAGCTCCATAAGTAATGGATCAAATCCTGGAAGCTCTCAGTGCAGAAAGTGAGGCGAGCTCGCTGAGATTTTTTTACGTAATCAGAAAATCTAAGAAAAAAACAAGGTCTTCTCACTTCACTTCTTCTTTTTAATTTTTTTTCTTTTCAAAAGCAAATAACCCCTCCCCTCGTCGAAATTCTGAAATGCATCAGGATATGCTGAAAATTGAATGATGCGTTAAATGGTATGAAGTTTTAATCGTCCTAGCCACGTTAAAAAGTGTCACATGGTCATCTTATTACATTGTTGCCGTTATGCCTTGTTTTTGTTTATGTTTACTATTACAGGCTTCTGAATTCTTAGGATGTAAATACTACATCCTACCGTACTAATAGTGTAACTATGTACATATATACTGCCTTCTTTTCTTCTTTATGTTTCACGTGTTCCCAGGACCAACTTAAGTTCCTGTTTCCATCTCAGCCGATAAATATTTACCGCGGCCTGGCCTGGGACACCTGGAACAAATTAACTGTACATTCTGACTCTGCCTCAGAGTTCGACTCACCCATAGGATTTAATAATCCACAAATTAAAATGTATATATAGTCTAGTTTAAGTGTACTTCTAAAATCTAAATTACTTAATACTCTATGTAGGCGTAATTCAAGAGTAAATTAAAAAAAAAAAAAAAAAAAAAAAAAAAAAAAGGTGTCACTCTACTAGTGGCAGTGCCACACTGACCTATGCTGAGAGATCCTATTGCGAGGGAGGGTGCGGATTGAGAAGCCTCCTTTCTCATACAGCATATTCCGTGCTCCATCTCAGTCGACCTTCCAAAATGCAGTCTGTTTCATTGGGATAGAAAAAAAAAACTCCAAAACATGACAAAATCATCGGTTTGATGCAACTTGCGAGAGCTAGTTTCGCTGTCCGAGTTCGGTCGGCTTTTGGGCCCAGTTTTCGCCTCCCCCGGGGGGGGGGGGAGGGGAGGTATATTTTGAGCTGCATCTTAGTAGACCTTTCAAGAAGCAGCCTGAGTCATTTGCAAAAAAGTTCTCCAAAACATAATAGAAGCATCGGTTTGATCCGACCCGCGCAAGCCAGTTACGCTGCGCTGCTCGAGTTCGGTCACCCCCCCCTCCCGCCCGGGGGTTTAATCTGAGCTGCATCTTAGTCGACCTTTCAAGATGCAGTCGCAATCATTTGCATAAAAAATTCTCCAAAACATGGCGAAAGAATCGGTTTAATGCGGCTCGCCGACTCTGAAATCGGTGGCGTGAACACCCCTCCCCTTCCCCATAAGGCAAAATTGTCAGTTTCTTAGTTCGGATGGTCTCTAGCCTATTCAGACGATACAAAAGACTCAAGAAACCATCAAAGAATCTCATAGGCGACCAATAAACCCGGGTGTCAAAACTGCCAATTATACGCCGAATTGGCAACTTTGACCCCCAAAATGGGGGGTAAACGTTCAAGATAGGGAGAAATGCCCAATGGCACTTTTGATCAGTATGTTAAGACCTAAAACATATCAAAACGCCAGCCAATTTAACCGGGCCCACTTTTCCCAAAGGACCGGTCCGTCATCCTTTTGGGTGAAGTTAAAAAAAAACGACTTAAATTTGACCGTTTAAATTTCGTTTTTTTGAACCTTATTGCCCGAGATCTGGGGACTTGAAAACGCAATGTTGAACCAGTTTTGAACTTACCGATATAATGTTGAGGCAAAGGTCGGGAAAATTGGCTCAATTCGCGGGAAAATCGTATGACTTTAGAACTGACGTAGTTGGGGGTCCGAAACCCCCCTTAAAATTAGTTTGAAATGATTTTTGTGATTTTTACTTAAAAGTGCTACGTTTTGGCAAATTCTCCGTTTTTTTCCGAACGCATTTTTGACGTAAATAAGGAGATGAGGCACATTGCCCCGTGCAGCTATCGGAAAAGTATACGTTTTTGGGTATCCGCCATAAAATCTTTCGATTTCAGGAGGCTGTTCGGTAACGCTACTCTCCGTCTTTTTCCAATACCCCCTAGACTGACCATACCTAAACATTTGTTTTGAGGTTAATATACATCTCTAGTCTGGTTGTACACGGCTCTTATTGGAAAACCTGAAAAAAACTATTTTTGACTCCTTAAAGTAAAATTTGACGGGGGAAGAATTTTTTCCCTTAAACTTCAAGTATGAAGGCCTTGAATGCATAAAACTTCGGCGGCTGAATCTGTTTTGGGTGGGGAAAAAAATTAATAGTGGAAGTACATATTACATAGGGAATGCATCCGTCAAGGGAATGGTGAGGAGGGGAGGGGATGTGGTCATCCACTTGAATGTCTTAAATTCTCTGCCAAGAAAGTGATTCAGTGGCAAATTTTTGGTATTTATGTTCCACGAATGTTATATTTCCAAGAGAAGACCACTTACGGTCACCAGTCATCTCATGATACCTACTTTTAATTTCACTTGTTCACCTCGTCCCATAAGGTCCTGAGTAAAAATTCACAACTTGATGCACTAACACACACAGATGAGTTCCGAATGTTTAGGTATGGTCAGTCTAGAAGGTTATGTTCTTCCGCTGATACACCATACGAACAGCGCATGCACGTATTATTAGAGAGGATCGGCGGACGCCACACCGCGCCGCATCGCGGGCTCGGGAGAGATCGGACAAAGCGTTTTGAAATTCCTTGCTGAGGGGAGCTGTAGCTCCGCTTGCGTCTTCGTCCCGATTTTACTCCCTCTCAAGGATATCTGTTCTTTCATCAAAAGGAAATTCGTGATTTTTCTCAAACCACCTCTTAATTGCTGTCATCCCCTCCTCCCGGATAGTCCTTCCCACCGTCCCTACCGGAAATACCTCAATCTACGCAACCTACGCATTGTGGTATCGTGACAAGACTGAGAGTACCTATTTCTGAAGCGTATAGGGACCCCAACGGCGAGCAGTATGCGCCTCACACAGCTATTAACCTCTCCAGCCCTACCAGTTGCCGGTCAATAAGTAATTTCGAATCGTCGAAAAATTTAACTTTGTGTTTGAGAGATCAATCAATAGACTCCCTTAAAATTTGATAATTACGTATCAGGGTGATTTCACGATAACAGAAATTAGCTAAAACGTGCAACGACCTTAAAAATAAAAGTGAACCAAATTTAACGAGATTTCATTACTTCACTTTAAAGGTATTGTACTTCCTCTTTCTAGCTTTGGCACGTAATATTACATGTATGATTCAGGACAAAGTTATAGTCGTGATTGATAAACAAGCCATTGCATCAGCTAACAGCTCTTTATGCGGGATTGCTGGAGGTCCATACGGAAACATGGCGACCCTGCCAGATTGCGTCGGTCACATAACCGACACTTTAAAATGTGGAGATACACACTGCACTTAACACATAACTGCTAAAGTATGTTGGCAAACGAGGCGACATTTCTTTCAAATGACCTTCCTCGCTTAATAATAAACATTTTAGTTCATAATGCCAATTTTCTTGAACACTAGAGTCTACTTTCAGCAAATATTGCCAAAGAAATCATGATCAGTACTTATTTATTACTGCAAATTAGGTCCTCTTTTGCTTCAAAAGTAGGGTTGGCGACGCGTAAATGACCGAACATTTTCGGTCTTTAGAGTCTCATATTATTTTAAATATAATGGTAATTTATCATATCTTTTAGCATGGATAAGTTCAAGGACGCCATTTCTATTGATTTATTAACTTGGTTTTCATGCCCTAAAGTCGTTTGTATAACCCACGGTGACACGACTTTTCCTCTTATCGTGATGTCACCCATAATTATAAATAGGCTTATTCAAAAAAAATGTCTCTATGAATTTTACAGTTGCTGCTGATACCAGTGAATAAATGTGATATTGCTCATGAGGGTAACCAATACATTTGCCCCCTGTACAAAACTTGTGACAGACGGAGCTCCCTAGTTGACTGTCAGCAATCTCCAAATGTAGTGACAACTGTTCGCCTCAATTCAGATAAGCCTGTTAACCACTGGATTCTGCGAGGAGTTGCTTTAATCACGCAACTCTCCGATTGAAAGGTTTACTGGTTTTAAAATTTTGAACTAAATGTGTATTTTTTGTATGAATAAATTTTTCATACCTTTTTTTTTGCGTCTTAATTCACAGTCTTCTTATTCACCTAAGGAAAAAGAAAGAAAAAAGAAATAAAGGGAGTAGGGTAAAAACAGGAATTTTAGCGCAGTAAATTATCCAACAGCGTTGCATGATTGTGCAGAAAAATATGAATTAAATTACAGCGTTGTATAGGGATTATTGTTTAATATGGCAACGCTGTAAAAAGAAAGTATTGCATGTTGCCCCTTCAATATGCGGGTTATGCAATGGTGTAATAATGCCCCTTCATTTTTCGGGTTATGCAATGGTGTATTTTTCNACTAAAGGGGGGAAAACCTGTAGCCTCATGTACCCGCCTTAATACTGCCGTGATAGAGAAGAGAGCCGTAACTGTCAAACCTCCGATATTGAGTCTCCTCCAAAATCCTTCAAAATCAGTCATGGACTTGAGGAATTTCAGGGTATGGCCCCAAAAATGACCCTCATCGAAACCCTTCCTTTTATTAAAATTTGAATTTGTTGAGTTCCACTCTTCTCAGATGCACTTTTTACGACCAGATTAGGATTCCGCGCTCAAAATTGATGCAGAATCAAGGGGCCTGGAGGAAAAGGAGCACAAGTGCAGTTTTTGCTATCTCAAGAAATATTTTTTTTTTTTTTATTTTTTCAATTAAGTACATACAAAAGCTGTTGAAACTGCTTATGGTACGTGTCAGGCGTTGTCCTCAAAACACTTAATTTAAACACATGTACAATAAAATTTACAACAATAATAGGATAGTTTTCAATTGTTGAGTATTTAATAGTTATATACAGAAATTCCTCAGAAACAATCTTAACTCAGACATCTCTGTATTTAGCTATCACCTAGAAACTCATTTATGTGGTAGAACGCTTTTTCTAGGCAGAATTTTTTAAGAAGTTTAAGGAATACATTTGGATGGTCATTTTTAAATGATAGTTTTAGTGAAAGCGGTAGGGCATTAAAGAGCTGTATAGCAGAGAAATTTACATTGCTTTCTGATTTGGTAAATACGTTATTTAAAGTTTCAAAATCATATGGAGCTAAGGCTTTGAACTAAACTGGCAGAACTGGCAGAAAGGAAGTTCAAACTCAGTTTATGTTGCTTTAAAGTTGGATTTTATAGTCGTGAATTTTTCACATAGGTAGAATTTATTTTCAAACTAGTTTTAGTTGAGCTCACGAATAATTCAATTTTATCGAAAACGGCTTTTATGCACCTTGTCCTCCAAGCCCTTCAATCGAATAGACCTCATGCTCTTGAATAACTAGGCTCAGAGGACTCATCCATTTTTTATGCACTTTTCATGCAAACTTACGTTTTTGCCTTAATTTTGATCATATGAATTTATGGAGATGGAGAGAGAAATTAGCCTCTGAAAGAAGCACGATACTTACAATATTGCTTGAGTAATTGTTGAAAATCACTTTAAGATGAAGAAGAATTCTATTTCAAGAATTTTCACGTTCAAATTATAGGATGACTAGCAACTCAACCGCGTGCTTCGCACGGACATTGTGGTCTAGACTTTCTTACCGCTTTTAAATTTTTATCGGTAGCTTGACTACATAGGTACTTCTATATTCTGGTTTTGCAATTTTTCCTGGATTGAGAGGAAATTTTTTGGTCCGTCGATCATGGTAGGAAAGTAATGCTAAAACTCGTACTTATAGCAGAGAATATTCTGAGGATGATTTCTGAAAGTTAATATTCTTTGATTCAATGACCAATCTTTAAATTAACAAAGAGGTTGTCATCCTCTTTTTCAGTGGTTTAATTTAACTACATTTTACCTAGGAACATTCGATTTCTGGCTCATCCGTACAAACTAAGTGTAATATATAGTCCGAATCTGGTTTCCGTTTTGCTCCGATTTTACATCTTTGAAATGAGATGGACCACATTTTGCAGTGTGGAACCACAATTCCTGTCTTGGTTTAGAAACAACTTATGTGTCATTAGTTTTCTTATGCGCATAAGTGTTTGTACGGATGAGCCAGATATTGCAACGAAGTTCAACATGTCGAGAAACAAACACATTCAAGTTTCTTCCAAATTTTTCTCGGCAGTGAATCAGCTCATCAGAACGTGGCAAAAATAGTTAAATGATAAATTCATAATAAGACAGTGGGACAGGATGCGTACGAAAAATTTCATGAGTTTGGACAACAGAATTGCTCCTATTTGGAAGACACGATATTCCACATTATATTGCTGAAATTTTCCAAGATTGCTCATATTTCTTTTGAAATAGAGTTACCCCCCCCCCCCCCCCCCCCCCACCTCCTCGAAAGTGTATCAAAGACGACAGGGTACAACACAACAAACGTATGAAACAACACATCAAACACATCAAAAACAACAACACCATCAAACACATTACACATCAAATACAACAATTACATCAAACTCATCACACATCAAACACAACAAACGCAACAAACACAATAAACATATCGAACACGTCAAACACGACAAATACGTCTAACACAACAATCACATCAAACACAACACACGCATCAAACACAAAAAACCCAGCAAACTTATCAAACAAGACAAATACATCAAACGCAACAAATACAACAATCAGAGGAGAGTGGGGTTGGTTGGCTCACCGTGGGGAATTTTTAGGTTATGAGTAGGGAAATTTGCCTTTTGCAGTCTCTGAGGGTTGGCAGCAGTGCCATGCATGTTTTTCGACAGAGACAAGAGACCCTCCACTGGTCGCCTAGCGACAGGTGGAAGCTTTTACTTTCGGGGCTTCAACAATTCCTTATGGACAATTATTAGGGAGCAACAGTCATCACCCTAGTTTCGGCTGTTGACTTACCTACATGGTCGATGATGAGCTTCGGATGACGTCATGAGCCAAACAACTTTCCCAAACGTCGGCCATTTTCGGCTTGTTTGCAAAACGAAACTGCCAACACGTTGTTGAACATCAACCATGTAGGTAAGTCAACAGTAGAATGCTGCAGCCCCGAAAGTAAAAGCTTCCACCATGGCCAAGATACTAGTGGAGGGTCTCTTGTCTCTGTTTTTCGATCACAAACAATAACAACAACAATGTTTTGTTTACTTTCTGATCAAACAACGTTATAACCTTGAATTTTGCGCCAAATTGGCGTCACGCTACCTTTTCAACATCACTTTTAATGCGGTCAACATACCACCCGCGATTTTTTTGCAAAAATGTCAACTAGAAGGCCTACTGATTGAGGAACAACAAACCGCGAAATCTGTAGTTTGGCCATTTTTGAGAAAATGCGATTTTTCGCTTTTTTGGCGGGAATTTCGGGTCAAGGCGCTGAAAATGTCAAGTTAGGCTGTTTTTGTGGCTCGTAAATGCATATCCCATATATTTTTAGTTAATCAAGAGCCAGTAGATAGCTATTCGTGCATATTGCCCAAAATTCATATCCTCAAATCCCCGACTTTCGGGTTTTTGGGGGGATAGTCAAGGAGAAATCCGAAAAAATCGGAACAAATTGCTTAACAAACTTTTCCTATGTAAACGTTTTCAGTAGGTCCTATTGAACACTTACCAAAAGTTTACCTCGGTTCAATCCCGGAACACCCCCCATTGCCTAAATTTCAAAATGGCGGCCATTGTAAGGCCTCTGGGAGTTCAATTTTTTTTTAAAATACGCATACAGTATCATGTGAGGTATCAATTCCTGTGTAATTTTGGTTGTAGATTTCAGATATGAAGTCAAAAAAGTCCCCCGATCAAAAGGGAGTACCGCAAATTCAAGATGGCAGCCAATTTTGAAAGGCAAGAGGGTGAATTTTTAAAAAGTTCGCGTGATAAGGCAAGTGCGGTATCATTTCTTATGTAATTTTGGTCGTAGATTTCATTTATGAAGTCATAAAAGCCCTCAAGTTAAAGGAATTGCTCCAAATGCCAAGGTGGCGGCCAGATTTGAAAAACAGGACGGTGACTTTTTGAAATGTTTACGTGGCATCCCTGGTAAAATTGAATCAACCTGACGTCAGGCTATGTTTCATAAACTACCCTGAGTCAGACTAATTCAGGCTGATATCATTCAGGTGTTGTGGGGGGGAGGGGCTTATTTCCGCACGCAAAATTTGGGAACCCCTACAGCAACATTGTTGTACAACAACTGCAACGTGCTCAGAGGCAAGTCGTTTTTATGTTGTTGCCCAAGAAAACGCTGTTTTCCAACCTAAAATTGGAATTTACTTTCTCGTTGGTTGTTCAGAAGCACGCAAAAGAAACAAGGGAAAAAACAGAAACAATTTGTTGTTTCGAACAAAATACCTACGATTCGTGTGTCTATGGTTGGTTGCAACCTTTTCTTCAGACCACTTCCATTGTTGCCGAGTTTAGACTTTGTCTGGAGGTGGCTACCGCCACCCATGATACCATGCTACGCACTATTTAAAATTAATATAGTAAAAGTTTAGGAGAACAAATAAAATTTAAGCTTTAGCTTTTATCTAATTCAGTCAAAACAATGATAGATTGAGTTTTAACTTCTACATACTTAATCATTCAGTTTCTGGTTATTGAATTCATTAGCAGTACGAAGTATATTTTATGTTACATGTATTTGTGTAAGATTTTTCACTACGCAAGTAAAAAATAGAGGACTCAACATTCTGAAAGAAAGGCGATGATGTTCTTAGTTTTGGGAATTATATAATCATACTTTATTGAAGAGTGACAGGAATCATGGCATTTTTTTAATGATAGAATTCTACTATGGTACAATATCATGATTGGTAACAAAATGGCAAAGGTTTTGCAAAATACAAACTAAGCACTTCCAAGGGGTGCGTACGAAGCTGCTGCCTCCATTTGGGCTGATTATTTTTGTTTTCACAAACTCCTTGGACTTTTTGCGGATGGACGTCATAAGAACAAGGCTTGGATTTCCAATAATCACCCGTTAAAAACGATCATGTCGGTGAGTGAAACATGGTATAATATTGATGATGTTGACGCCATCATGACAGCATTATGGTACAATAATTAACGTGTAGCATGTGAGTAAAATACTTGCCCTGCTAATTTGAAATATTCTTACGCGGTCCCCGTGGTGCATTAATTTTGTTATGAATACGGTCCCAATATGATATCAATTTAGTCAAAGTGTCCAATACAGTTACCGGTATGGTAAGAACATGGGACAAAGTTGAGACCAACTTGGTATCATGCTGGTATCAAGTTAATGTAATGTTGATACCACGTTAGCGTCAACAAGGTGCAATTTCGCTCACCGACATTATACCACGTTCGGACTATGTTGGTACCAACTCTGACCATGTTGGTAACAACATGATCTCAACATGGTACAAACATGATCTTTTCAACACGGTTGCGTTTTCAGCGACTGATTTTTTCCTCCAGTGCGTGCCTAGACTGTTGTGGGTTTCAATAATTTTCAAAAATCCACAAGGCTCGATTGGAGAACAGTTATATACACGAGAATATTTACACATGTACAGATGGGCACGAAAAATGTTTCGAACATTTTTAGAGAGCACCCTCTTGCCAATAAGTCCATTGTCTGGTGAGCTTAAGTAACATTTACGCGTGTCACTAGCTTGGGACACGTGAACATTGACGTGGGACCAGGGGTCACGTTTATGGGATTATTTTACGTAAAATTTACGAGCGATCAAATTTAAATATAATAATTGTTTAAAAAAGGGACAAATCACTCAGAAAACTCTTTAAGTAAAACTATTAAAAATAATACACTGATTTTTTCACTCTTCTTTTTACATTATTAATTTAAATAATTGTTTTAAAAGATCGCGTTTTTTAAAGAGTGTTTTTACACTGATTTTCTCTAAGTTTGCCTCTCGTAAATTGCTAGTAGGGTGAAGTCATGTTGAAGCATATACTTATGCCAAAAATTGTGGGAATGCTGGCAATATTATTTCCATAAAGTCATCAACTGCTCAGTATATTGACATAGGCATACGTATCTTTGAACTCAGCACTGAAAATATACTTACATTCACAGAATTACTTAAAGTTAGGTCTCTAAAAACGAACATCTGGGTAATGTGTTGAGATCATATTATCACAAACACAACTCGTTCCGGGCCGTGTCGGCGTAAAATGTTGTTAAAATATTAGCAACATGAAATCGACCTGATCTAAGAAACCACCATGCACTCAGTAGGTACCTATGTTAGACGTTACCCTGTTGGTCCCATCATCGTGGTGGCATACAGATCTCAACATGGTATCGCATTCGTTACATGCTTAAACCATGTTAATGTCAACATGGTGCTATGTTCCATCCACCAACATGGTCGTTTTCAATAGAAATTAAATAAACGATGCATCAACATTATTTACATAATATATCAGAAAACATGAAATAAGTTACTCAACCGAAACGTCTATTATTGGCACGATAGGATGTAAACGCTTCAACTTTCTTTGGCGATGACATTGTTCTTCTGATACACACAGTGCATCGACTAATTCTTGTTTTAAGAGCTTCAGCCTTTAGCGTTTGCTGTGACGGTTTTCTGAACATTTCGCGGTCATCTATTGTTGACAACCAGTAGGAGAATGCTGACGTGAAGGAATTGCAGTTCCCGTGTCCATGACATTCGATGAATGGCGTTGCTCGGAATTCCTCTAAGCAAGATCCAGGACTAACGAGTGACTGACCACCACCCTCCGCATTTGCATCGGTGTGCTGAAAAATTTCACATTCATTTTCATTAAAACATAATTATAGGTACTTAAAAAAAGAAAAAAAAATGACAGCACTTGTACTCGATTCGTATAGAATTGCGATAGTTGCCCTCCCGATGTTTAAAATTGTAACTCAGTAAAACACAAAAAATAAAATGAAAAAAATTTACAACGCGAGGCGCGATGGTATCACGCAAGTACTTGGAGGCTCTGAATTCGAAAATGAGCTCGATTTTTTCCCCATCAACTTCCAATTAGCCGGAAAAGCCAATTTTTGCGCTGCCAATTTTGGAAAAATGGGCATTTTGGTGTTGTTGCGACTGTTACCCCCGCAAAATCTAGGTACCTATGAAATGAAAACTGCGTCTTAAACCTAAAAATTATTCAAAGTGTCCTTCTACGGGGGAAATAGCGCAAATCGCACGCCAGAAAACTGAAGTGGGATCCCGCGCCGGACAAAAACTCAACATGGAGGAAAATTTATGATATCATAAGTTAAGTGTTGCTCTTGTTTCCCGTGTGAACCGGTCAGTGCTATATAAATCATCACCTTTCGTGAGATTCTGATCGGCATACAGGGTCAGGACGCGCGGGACGTTGGAAGCGGCAATGCACTGTGACGCGCATTTTCTGGAAAATTTCTAAAGTCAGTCGCACATCTTCGCCGGTTAACCGCCAAACAGTACCTGTATAAGCCCAAGTAGCCACGGTTGCAACTTGTTGCAACAACATCATAGAAAAGTTGCAACTTATCTGACGTAACTTTTGTTGCAACTTTGTTGGAAGAAGATGGCAGGAAAGTTGAAACAAAGTCTCAATATTTTTGCAACTTTTTCCTCGAACTTTTTGGGAGGAATTTTAAACAAGTAAAGTGAACAACCAACAATGAGTAACAAGAAAAATGTTAATAGTAATTGTACCCAATATGCCATTTGATTTATTTAAGTAAGACAAACTCCTGGAGGTACTTGTTTTTTCTGCATTCATGAAGCAGTTTGTGATTTCTCTGGTTAAAGAGCGATGAGGTTGACAATGCTGCGGAAATTGTGCATCTTGGCTTTTTATATTCAGTTAATCCACTAAAAAGTTCTGCTACACAGTTTTCTGAAAAGAAATCCTACATTTTTTCTATGAACAGATTTGGCAGTAAATCAATATATATATAATAATCTCAGATTGTATGCCAAATCGCACAATTTAGCTGCCCTGCCTAGCTTCATACTCTCAGACCCAGATGTGGAAAGAGCATATATCCCTGGTAAAAAAGACGACTATGCTGCGAATGTATAGCATAGTCGTGTGCATATGTGAGAAGTCGCAGTGTAGTCATCAGTATGCGCAGTGTATTCGCAAGGTAGTTGCAAGGTGGTCACCGGCTATAGTGGTCTCTATGAATGTGTAGTTGCAGATCAATGGTGGGTATCCGCAAGCATAGGTGCATATGTTTATGTACCTACCTTTACCCGCTACACATGTGACTACACAACTCTGGGACACTTAGTTGTGCAACTACATATTAA